AGCGCCTCTTCTCCCAGCCTCCCTCCCCATCCGACCAGCCCCCTGACCTCAGCTCCCCTCCCCCCACTCCTAGAGCGCCTCTTCTCCCAGCCTCCCTCCCATCCGACCAGCCCCCCTGACCTCAGCTCCCCCCCCCCCACTCCTAGAGCGCCTCTTCTCCCAGCCTCCCTCCCCACCCGACCAGCCCCCCCACCTCAGCTCCCCCTCCCCCCACTCCTAGAGCGCCTCTTCTCCCAGCCTCCCTCCCCATCCGACCAGCCCCCCGACCTCAGCTCCCCTCCCCCCACTCCTAGAGCGCCTCTTCTCCCAGCCTCCCTCCCCCATCCGACCAGCCCCCCGACATCAGCTCCCCTCCCCCCACTCCTAGAGCGCCTCTTCTCCCAGCCTCCCTCCCATCCGACCAGCCCCCCCCAACTCAGCTCCCCTCCCCCCACTCCTAGAGCGCCTCTTCTCCCAGCCTCCCTCCCCATCCGACCAGCCCCCCCCCCCCCTCCCCCCCGACCTCAGCTCCCCTCCCCCCCCACTCCTAGAGCGCCTCTTCTCCCAGCCTCCCTCCCATCCGACCAGCCCCCCCACCTCAGCTCCCCTCCCCCCAGTCCTAGAGCGCCTCTTCTCCCAGCCTCCCTCCCCATCCGACCAGCCCCCCGACCTCAGCTCCCCTCCCCCCAGTCCTAGAGCGCCTCTTCTCCCAGCCTCCCTCCCGACCTGACCAGCCCCCCGACCTCAGCTCCCCCTTCACCCCCACTCCTAGAGCGCCTCTTCTCCCAGCCTCCCTCCCCATCCGACCAGCCCCCCGACCTCAGCTCCCCTCCCCCCACTCCTAGAGCGCCTCTTCTCCCAGCCTCCCTCCCATCCGACCAGCCCCCCGACCTCAGCTCCCCTCCCCCCACTCCTAGAGCGCCTCTTCTCCCAGCCTCCCTCCCATCCGACCAGCCCCCCCGACCTCAGCTCCCCTCCCCCCCACTCCTAGAGCGCCTCTTCTCCCAGCCTCCCTCCCCATCCGACCAGCCCCCCCCGACCTCAGCTCCCCTCCCCCCACTCCTAGAGCGCCTCTTCTCCCAGCCTCCCTCCCATCCGACCAGCCCCCCCGACCTCAGCTCCCCCCCCCCCACTCCTAGAGCGCCTCTTCTCCCAGCCTCCCTCCCCATCCGACCAGCCCCCCCGACCTCAGCTCCCCACCCCCCACTCCTAGAGCGCCTCTTCTCCCAGCCTCCCTCCCCATCCGACCAGCCCCCCGACCTCAGCTCCCCCCCCACCCCTCCCTAGAGCGCCTCTTCTCCCAGCCTCCCTCCCCACCCGACCAGCCCCCCCCGACCTCAGCTCCCCACCCCCCACTCCTAGAGCGCCTCTTCTCCCAGCCTCCCTCCCCATCCGACCAGCCCCCCGACCTCAGCTCCCCTCCCCCCACTCCTAGAGCGCCTCTTCTCCCAGCCTCCCTCCCCATCCGACCAGCCCCCCGACCTCAGCTCCCCCCTCCCCCCACTCCTAGAGCGCCTCTTCTCCCAGCCTCCCTCCCCATCCGACCAGCCCCCCGACCTCAGCTCCCCCCCCCCACTCCTAGAGCGCCTCTTCTCCCAGCCTCCCTCCCATCCGACCAGCCCCCCGACCTCAGCTCCCCTCCCCCCACTCCTAGAGCGCCTCTTCTCCCAGCCTCCCTCCCATCCGACCAGCCCCCCGACCTCAGCTCCCCTCCCCCCCACTCCTAGAGCGCCTCTTCTCCCAGCCTCCCTCCCATCCGACCAGCCCCCCGACCTCAGCTCCCCTCCCCCCACTCCTAGAGCGCCTCTTCTCCCAGCCTCCCTCCCCATCCGACCAGCCCCCCCCGACCTCAGCTCCCCCTCCCCCACTCCTAGAGCGCCTCTTCTCCCAGCCTCCCTCCCATCCGACCAGCCCCCCCGACCTCAGCTCCCCTCCCCCCCACTCCTAGAGCGCCTCTTCTCCCAGCCTCCCTCCCATCCGACCAGCCCCCCGACCTCAGCTCCCCCCCCCCACTCCTAGAGCGCCTCTTCTCCCAGCCTCCCTCCCCATCCGACCAGCCCCCCGACCTCAGCTCCCCTCCCCCCACTCCTAGAGCGCCTCTTCTCCCAGCCTCCCTCCCCATCCGACCAGCCCCCCGACCTCAGCTCCCCCCTCCCCCCACTCCTAGAGCGCCTCTTCTCCCAGCCTCCCTCCCACCCGACCAGCCCCCGACCTCAGCTCCCTCCCCCCACTCCTAGAGTGCCTCTTCTCCCAAACTCCCTCCCCATCCGACCAGCCCCCCGACCTCAGCTCCCCTCCCCCACTCCTAGAGTGCCTCTTCTCCCAACCTCCCTCCCCACCCGACCAGCCTCCCCACCTCAGCTCCCCCCCCCCCACTCCTAGAGCGCCTCTTCTCCCAGCCTCCCTCCCCATCCGACCAGCCCCCCCGACCTCAGCTCCCCTCCCCCCACTCCTAGAGCGCCTCTTCTCCCAGCCTCCCTCCCCATCCGACCAGCCCCCCGACCTCAGCTCCCCTCCCCCCACTCCTAGAGCGCCTCTTCTCCCAGCCTCCCTCCCATCCGACCAGCCCCCCGACCTCAGCTCCCCCTCCCCCCACTCCTAGAGCGCCTCTTCTCCCAGCCTCCCTCCCATCCGACCAGCCCCCCGACCTCAGCTCCCCTCCCCCCACTCCTAGAGCGCCTCTTCTCCCAGCCTCCCTCCCCATCCGACCAGCCCCCCCCCCTCAGCTCCCCCCCCCCACTCCTAGAGCGCCTCTTCTCCCAGCCTCCCTCCCCATCCGACCAGCCCCCCCCGACCTCAGCTCCCCTCCCCCCACTCCTAGAGTGCCTCTTCTCCCAGCCTCCCTCCCCATCCGACCAGCCCCCCCAACCTCAGCTCCCCTCCCCCCACTCCTAGAGCGCCTCTTCTCCCAGCCTCCCTCCCATCCGACCAGCCCCCGACCTCAGCTCCCCTCCCCCCACTCCTAGAGCGCCTCTTCTCCCAGCCTCCCTCCCCACCCGACCAGCCCCCCGACCTCAGCTCCCCCCCCCACTCCTAGAGCGCCTCTTCTCCCAGCCTCCCTCCCCATCCGACCAGCCCCCCCGACCTCAGCTCCCCTCCCCCCACTCCTAGAGCGCCTCTTCTCCCAGCCTCCCCTCCCATCCGACCAGCCCCCCCCGACCTCAGCTCCCCTCCCCCCACTCCTAGAGCGCCTCTTCTCCCAGCCTCCCTCCCCATCCGACCAGCCCCCCCGACCTCAGCTCCCCTCCCCCCACTCCTAGAGCGCCTCTTCTCCCAGCCTCCCTCCCATCCGACCAGCCCCCCGTCCTCAGCTCCCCCTCCCCCCACTCCTAGAGCGCCTCTTCTCCCAGCCTCCCTCCCCACCCGACCAGCCCCCCGACCTCAGCTCCCCCCCCCACTCCTAGAGCGCCTCTTCTCCCAGCCTCCCTCCCCATCCGACCAGCCCCCCGACCTCAGCTCCCCTCCCCCCACTCCTAGAGCGCCTCTTCTCCCAGCCTCCCTCCCCATCCGACCAGCCCCCCGACCTCAGCTCCCCCCCCCCACTCCTAGAGTACCTCTTCTCCCAGCCTCCCTCCCCATCCGACCAGCCCCCCAACCTCAGCTCCCCCTCCCCCACTCCTAGAGCGCCTCTTCTCCCAGCCTCCCTCCCATCCGACCAGCCCCCCGACCTCAGCTCCCCTCCCCCCACTCCTAGAGCGCCTCTTCTCCCAGCCTCCCTCCCATCCGACCAGCCCCCCGACCTCAGCTCCCCCCCCCCTCCCCCACTCCTAGAGCGCCTCTTCTCCCAGCCTCCCTCCCATCCGACCAGCCCCCCGTCCTCAGCTCCCCTCCCCCCACTCCTAGAGCGCCTCTTCTCCCAGCCTCCCTCCCATCCGACCAGCCCCCCGACCTCAGCTCCCCCTCCCCCCACTCCTAGAGCGCCTCTTCTCCCAGCCTCCCTCCCCATCCGACCAGCCCCCCGACCTCAGCTCCCCTCCCCCCACTCCTAGAGCGCCTCTTCTCCCAGCCTCCCTCCCCACCCGACCAGCCCCCCGACCTCAGCTCCCCCTCCCCCCACTCCTAGAGCGCCTCTTCTCCCAGCCTCCCTCCCATCCGACCAGCCCCCCGACCTCAGCTCCCCCCTCCCCCACTCCTAGAGCGCCTCTTCTCCCAGCCTCCCTCCACATCCGACCAGCCCCCCGACCTCAGCTCCCCCCCCCCACTCCTAGAGCGCCTCTTCTCCCAGCCTCCCTCCCATCCGACCAGCCCCCCCAACCTCAGCTCCCCCCCCCCACTCCTAGAGCGCCTCTTCTCCCAGCCTCCCTCCCCATCCGACCAGCCCCCGACCTCAGCTCCCCCCCCCACTCCTAGAGCGCCTCTTCTCCCAGCCTCCCTCCCATCCGACCAGCCCCCCCCCCCCCCCCCCGACCCCCTCAGCTCCCCCTCCCCCCACTCCTAGAGCGCCTCTTCTCCCAGCCTCCCTACCCATCCGACCAGCCCCCCCGACCTCAGCTCCCCCCCCCCCCACTCCTAGAGCGCCTCTTCTCCCAGCCTCCCTCCCATCCGACCAGCCCCCCACCTCAGCTCCCCCCACCCCCCCCCCCCCCCCCTCCTAGAGCGCCTCTTCTCCCAGCCTCCCTCCCCATCCGACCAGCCCCCCGACCTCAGCTCCCCTCCCCCCTCCCTCCTAGAGCGCCTCTTCTCCCAGCCTCCCTCCCATCCGACCAGCCCCCCGACCTCAGCTCCCCCTCCCCCCACTCCTAGAGCGCCTCTTCTCCCAGCCTCCCTCCCATCCGACCAGCCCCCCGACCTCAGCTCCCCTCCCCCACTCCTAGAGCGCCTCTTCTCCCAAACTCCCTCCCCCACCCGACCAGCCCCCCAACCTCAGCTCCCCCCCCCCCACACCAGCCTCCTCCCCCCACAGCTGCCCCCCCCCCGCTGTAACCGTCCCCTCGCGCGCCGCTCCTCACCCGCCGCCCGGCCCCGCCCCCTGGGCCCCCCCCCCGGCCTCCCGCGCGCGCGCCCCCCGCCGCCGCTCTCACCTCGCTGCTCCCGGCCCCTCCCCCCCCGCGCGCGCGCGGCCTCCTCGCTCGGCGACCAGGGGGGGCCCGCTACTGCCGCCGCTGCCGCCGCAGACAGGGAGAGGGGGCGGGGCCAACGGCCGACGTCCCGTCGGCTCGCGCGAGAGTTCCCGCTGGCTCGCGCTCCCCCCCCCCCCCTCCTGTCTCCGGCTCTCTGTGTTCGCGTCCGCGCTTTCGACGCAGGAAATTAGAGCGACTCGCCTCCGCTCCGGGTGGGGCCCGGCTGGAAGGCCGTCCTCCTCTCTCTCTGTCGTTGTGCTGGGGGACGATTTTTTTTTTCTTTTTCATCCCCAGCTCGGGAAAGATGACGAATCCGCGGAAGCGAAACAGCAGCTAGCCGCCCAGAAGAGAAGGAGGCGCATTTTCGCCACGGAATGGCATAAATTTAAATATATTTACATAATGAATTGCAACGTAGCGGAGAGGCAAAAGGAAGAACGAGAGTGGCCCTGATGCGCCGCGCTATTTTTTGAAGAGGATAATTGGAGATATAGGGATTGAATCAGCTTTGGCGGAATCGCGGCTAGTTCCTAGGGGGAATATAAAACCTCAGAACTTTCGTCACGGGATGGAATAAATTTAAATTATATTAAATAATCAATTTCTACATTAGTAACGGGTAAAACCATGACCCTTGATGTGTCATATTATTTTTAAAAGGGGGGAGAGACTTGAATGTTTAGAGAACGAATCCGGTTTGTCGAAATCACAGCTAGGGGAGGAGAGTCTTATTTGCCTCCAGCACTTTCGCCATGGCCATGGATTGTATTTAAATAATCGAAATATTTGATTACACCGGCATAGACAAGACAACAGGAGGTAGATGATCCCTGCCCCACCCCTTCTCGGCTCAAACTACTTTTTAGAGGGGAGAATGGGAGAGGCAGGGATCGAATCTACTTTGGGAACATCATAACTTGTTCCTTGAAAAGGAATGAGGGATTATTCAAACTCTGCACTTTCGCCATCGGAAGGAATACATTTAAATATATTTTAATAATTTAGTGCACAATTGTAGGAAAGCCAATAAGAGGAATGAGACACCCCCCCCGTATATCATATTTTATATTGGGGAAATAGGAGACTGAGAAATACAATTTTGCCAAAGGAGATACCAAGGAAGGGAGGGGAAACCTACTCGTTCATTTGTACACAGCAGTTTCGTCATATGATTGAATACAGTTGATTAATTTTACAATATTGTTTACACTGTAATAACGGAGCCAATAGGACGAAAATGACCCCATCCTCCAAAAACAATCACCAAATTATTTGTGTGGAAAGTAATGGGAGGTTCAAGTATTTAATCTGCTTTGGCAAAATGCCAGCTGGTTCCATAGACGGGAGGGATACAGGTTTCAGAGGTTTCCTGCATGCCTCCAGCTTTCACCCTGACCACACCACACGATCCATCGTCTACAGCCAAGCTCTGCGATACAACCGCATTTGCTCCAACCCCTCAGACAGAGACAAACACCTACAAGATCTCTGTCAAGCTTTCTTACAACTACAATACCCACCTGCAGAAGTAAAGAAACAGATTGATAGAGCCAGAAGAGTTCCCGGAAGTTACCTACTACAGGACAGGCCTAACAAAGAAAATAACAGAACGCCACTAGCGGTCACCTTCAGCCCCCAACTAAAACCCCTCCAACGCATTATTAAGGATCTACAACCTATCCTAAAGGATGACCCAACACTCTCACAAGTCTTGGGAGACAGGCCAGTCCTTGCCTACAGACAGCCCCACAACCTGAAGCAAATACTCACCAAACAACCACATACCACACAACAGAACCACTAACCCAGGAACTTATCCTTGCAACAAAGCCCGTTGCCAACTGTGCCCACATATCTATTCAGGGGACACCATCACAGGGCCTAATAACATCAGCCACACTATCAGAGGCTCGTTCACCTGCACATCCACCAATGTGATATATGCCATCATGTGCCAGCAATGCCCCTCTGCCATGTACATTGGTCAAACTGGACAGTCTCTACGTAAAAGAATAAATGGACACAAATCAGATGTCAAGAATTATAACATTCATAAACCAGTCGGAGAACACTTCAATCTCTCTGGTCACGCAATCACAGACATGAAGGTCGCTATCTTAAAACAAAAAAAACTTCAAATCCAGACTCCAGCGAGAAACTGCTGAATTGGAATTCATTTGCAAATTGGATACTATTAATTTAGGCTTAAATAGAGACTGGGAGTGGCTAAGTCATTATGCAAGGTAGCCTGTTTCCTCTTGTTTTTTCCTACCCCCCCCCCCAGATGTTCTGGTTTAACTTGGATTTAAACTTGGAGAGTGGTCAGTTTAGATGAGCTATTACCAGCAGGAGAGTGAGTTTGTGTGTGTATGGGGGTGGGGGGATGTGAGAAAACCTGGATCTATGCAGGAAATAGCCCGACTTGATTATGTAAAGAGTTGTCACTTTGGATGGGCTAGCACCAGCAGGAGAGTGAATTTGTGGGGGGGGGGGTGGAGGGTGAGAAAACCTGGATTTGTGCTGGAAATGGCCCACCTGTTGATCACTTTAGATAAGCTATTACCAGCAGGACAGTGGGGTGGGAGGAGGTATTGTTTCATATTCTCTGTGTGTATATAAAGTCTGCTGCAGTTTCCACGGTATGCATCTGATGAAGTGAGCTGTAGCTCATGAAAGCTCATGCTCAAATAAATTGGTTAGTCTCTAAAGGTGCCACAAGTACTCCTTTTCTTTTTGGGAGGGATACAGTTATTCTTACCTTCCACTTTCACTCTGAAATAGAAGAAATTTAAATACATTAAAGTAACGAATTACAATGCTAGAGGAGAATGAGAGGGAGGCAAATGAGTCCATGGATTAGATAATATTATTTAAAAGGGAGTAATTGGATATCACAGGATTGAATCTGCATTAGCGAAATCACAGCTAGTTCCAGTGGCTCAGGGAATCCTGAGGGATTGATTTGTCTACCGCACTTTTGCCACAGCGTGCAACAAATTACAATACATTAAAATAAATAATTTTAAAGAGTCACGAGTAGGAGAGGAATCAGCTCCTGGATTAACATAATATATTTAATTTTAAGGGTTATGCCGAACCTGCTAAAGCCAACTACAGCTGGAGCCAAGTAATGATGAGAGGAAGAAGGAAAAAAACTACTTTCTCATCCGCTGCCAGCACTTTCGTTACAGGGTAGAAAAATCATTAAATAAATTATTTAAGGTTTCGGAATAAATTAATTAAGTTACACAACCTCGGAGAGCAGAAATTCAACCGCTACGTCACTAACTTTTTTTAAGACCATGGATAAATTGTGTGGAATCTAGATAGCTAATCAATCCCCTGATATTCCCACCCACCCCTCCCAGGAAGGCAATAAAAAGCCAGTGACTCGCCTTCAGCACTTTCTTCATTGTCAATAAATTGAAATAAATCTAAGTCATTAATAAAACCATCCAAAATCTCATAAGAAGCCAAATAAAATGCCAATTCATGAAGGTTGATTTTTGTCATCTACTTTGTAGAGGAGATGGGTGAGTCTGTTGAATCTGCTTGTGCCCTTCCATAGGCTCAATTACAACCTCTTGAGATCTATCTTGTGCTCCGTGGGACGTATTTTGCATCCTCTGACCTATCTTTTGATTGTGGGAAGCACTTTCAAAACAATTCATTACCACCGATTCTCCCTATTTCTTTAATCAGCCCCACCCATTCACATTTAGAGGAGGAGGCCGCATTTAATTACAAATGGTTCAAAATATTTCCATATGTAGTTTTCACAAGTGTTGAATCTACTGACCTCAATGCACACCCCTGCTGTGTCTTTGCCACAAGGGGTCAACATAGTGTTGAGTGCAAGGAGATGCATTAGGTGCCCCCAGCTAATCTCCTCCTCAATTTACACGTTACACCAGTCCCCTTTGACGCCCGCTAGCATTGAAAGGCAGCGGGCTACATTCTGGGTCCTGCTCATCTTTATTTAGGGGGTGGGGTAATAAACCCCTTGTACCCAAGATCTGCCACCAATGGGCATATTAACATTGCACGAGGACAATACGCAGATAGCCCCCACAGATACCCCCGCCCCAGCAGATTCCACCACGTGTATAAATGAGACTTGTTGCCGCATAAAAGTGGATGGAGCATAGATGGAGAAGGCCATGCCCCCTTATTAACCCTCCTTATAAAGGCCACTTAATAGTCTTTGTCCTTTCCTAACCTCCCTATTTAACTCAAGCACCTGCCAACCATTGGTGGGAAAAGTTTGTTATGTGAAATACCCTACATTATTTCAATTTAAGGCTGTGACAGACCTGATCCACATCTCCGGGGACTCCTAGGAGACTCCCAGCCAACCGAGGTAGGCAAAGTACAGTTTGTTCCAAGACTAAAGTGACATGAATTACAAAACTCCTTCAGAGCTTGTGTATGTAGAGGAAAGAAGCAAAAAAAAAAAAAATACACAAACATAGGGTGACCAGATAGCAAATGTGAAAAATCGGGACGGGGGTGGCGGGTAATAGGTGCCTATATAAGAAAAAGCCCCAAATATCAGGACTGTCCCTATAAAATCGGGACATCTGGTGACCCTATGCTAACACATTGTGACGGTCGTTCTTGTGGTTAAGACACCAGACAGGCTCTGGATGGCTGGGTTCTATGCCCATCTCAGCCGCAGCCTCCCTCTGGGACTTTGGGCCAATTACTGAATATCTCTGGGCCTCAGTTTCCCCATCTATGAAGTGAGAAGAATGATCCTGCCCTTGTCTATTTTGAACGCGAGCTCGCTGGGACAAGGATCCTGATCTGAGTCAGGGCCCGCAGGAAACAGGGAGTGAGAAGAAAGAGATGAAGTAGAAATAACTAATAGCAACCCGGCATTTGATTTCGCTTGTTGCAAGTCACCTCTACAATCCCCTGGTGTAATTGACTCATTTCCCCCACCAGAGGGCAGCAGTTACCCAGATATTTCAGACCTAGCTTAAAACTAGCTCCCTACCTACCAACTGTTCTGTCCTTTGGGGTTACCTCTGTCCTGGAGACAGTTGGTTCCCAGTCAGAGGGTAGGAT